TGCCATGGAGAATCGTGCCCAAGAACACAGACTCTCAATTTGGACAGACTAGAATTGGAATCTCAGCTTCAGCATTTATTGGTGATGTACATGAGGAGGCTTCAAAATTCTCACAAACTGCCAGGTTCCTTCCTCATCTGCACATAGGGTAAACGACAGCATCTTCTTTTAGAGGTTCTGAGGCAACTAAACAGAAGGCTACAAGTGCTGCCTTTGACTGCTCGTGAGAAAATTCCCCATGCTGGTCATCATTACTGTTTATTGCAAAGAGCAGTTATGAGTGTGACCTCAAAGGACACTTAGAAAAACTCTTAAGAAGTGGGGAATATTGTCTCAATTTTAAAATTGAGTGATTTGATCAAAGATATAAAGCTAATGACATAGACAACATTCAAATTAGGAATTAACCCCTAAACCATAAACTCCATTAATCTGCCTAATAATTCCACACGAGAGGGGGTATTTTCTGGAGTGCACTCATGGTATCAATGAATTTAAGCTTACAACAAAGAGGAGAGACATGGTAGTCTGCTGTGGGAACTCCTTTAGCCAGTCACCTTTAAGATACTGGCACACTCTAGGCATGGTCACATGTACTATATACACAAATGTAGGGATGTGCTGGATGTGGTACCTGCTCCCCACTCATGCAGAGGACTGCTGATCTACCCTGAAATAGAAAACCTTTATTATACTCCATTTTTAGCTAGTGCAGGACTATTTTATTGTAATCAGCAACATGTTGCACCCGCCCACGTGGTTCCAGAGTCCATGCCTACTGTGACCAGTCCAAAAGGTCCAGGGCCTGAAAGGTCTCCCACTCCCTCCAGCCTGGCTTGATTTCACCCACTAAGCAGTTTTTTTTTTTCCCAAACCCCTACACAACTGAGCTACCTCTTTGGCTTCCCCGCCCAAGTGTAAACCTGGCAATTTCCCACTGGCCCAAGTACAGCTTGTTCCTGCCTACCGATCTGCTCATGCAGAGAACTGCTGATCTGAGAGTCTACCCCCCCCCCCAAATCCCTTAATTATACTCCATTTTGAGGTATTGCGGGACTATTTTATTGTAATTGTCAACAGTAGTCAATATATTACATAGACAAGAAATAGAAAAGAGGCTTTAACAAAGTATTAGTTTTTACTGTTTAACCTTTGCATCCCCAAAGTCTAGCAGATAACTATTTTTATTTGCATTTGTGAGGGGTTTTTTTGAAATATCACCCACTTTGAGATCTAGCAAGAACTAAGTGTTATGATGCACATATTAAAAGAATTTGCAGAAGAGCCCAGCAAATAGTAAACACTCAAAACAAATGTCAGGTGTTATGACAATTCCTCCTACATCAGACAGCAGTGTCTGCACACCCGTTCAACACTCGGTGCTGCAATGGTAATATTACAGGCTCTGGCTCTGAGGATTCACTACACATCATGCATACTAATGCTAAGAACTATTTAGATATTCTTCTCACTCTTCGAGGTTGATATGATCAGTATGGTTTTATAGATAAGAAAACTAAGTCTGAGCGATGTTCAGGGACTCAGTCAAGGTAAAAGGAAGAGGAAGAGAAGGAGGGCAAAGGAAGGGAAGTTAAATTCAGAGCCAGCTCAGCTGAATTCCAAACCTCTGCTTTCTTTTGGGCATTTACCTTTGTGCATGGCTTAGGCAAACAGCAGCTAAAGCTAGTGTAGGAGGATGAGATGACCTCTCTCTCTCTCTCTCTCTCTCTCTCTCTCTCTCTCTCGCCCAGCTTCACTGAGAACATATTTATTGTACCATTCTTTGGGATACTGATAATCAGATGGTCAACAATTCAGGGATTAGTGAGCTGTTCAATTCAGGATGTAAGAAGTCCAGAAAGTATTTGGTTTGAACTACATGGCTATGGACTGTACAAGGTTACAGGTAGAAGGAAGCAATTTTTTTTTATTATGAAGGAAGGAGACTCAAATTGTGAAATCCCACCTCCACACATCCTTCTTTGAGAGTTTACTGCATGACATTGGTCTTCTTCCAAACCATCTTCAAGTGTTACCAAAGATGGAAACCATGGCTCATGCAGTAACCATGTGGCAGGAGCCAGAAGGGAAGCATGGTCACAGAACTGCCTCCTCACCACACAGTCATGAGCAAATCAGTTTGCTGAGTCTAAGATTTATCCTCTTAAAGATGAGAAGACAGATCCCAGTCATCTTGAAATCCATTCTCAATGGTCACAAAAGTAAATGCTTCTCTTTGTGTTCTTGCCGAGCTGTGAGTAGCCATGAGACCAAGAATAGAGACCATGGCTTTTAAACCCCTGACTTTTCAGGGAATTATAGGCAATGATGAGACTAATGTGGACTCCAATTTTCCCATTCATAAAGTAGGAGAGTATAGTAAATTAGAACAAATCTTACCTTTTCAACTGAACAAAAAGTAACAGTAACAAAAACAAATGCCCTTATATGGCTCAGATGCAAGATTTCCTGACTCAAGAGCTTGGTGTAGTTGGACATATTAGTGCAGCCTCTATTCCATACATGATGAAACCAGGACAGATGAATTAAACACTTTGTACAAAAACACCCAGAGAGGACAGTGGAAAAAGCAAACATCATGTCTGGCTCTGGTGCTGGTAATATTCCCAGAGAGTGGCCCCATGTTTGGAAAGTCACCTTCCAGCAACGGCCACCATTTGGTCCAGTGCCTCTAAGACCTAAGTGGCCAGTGGGGGAAAGAAGGAGACAGGAAATAATCTATTCCTGACATGTAGACCACAAGTTACAGATGTGTGTGTTTGGTGTATAGAGTATGTCAGCCTCCCCATTCCCTCCTCTGTCAGTAAATCCTGCAGGAAATTTCAGTGACATCTGGTGTGTGTTGAGTTATTCTTTGAAAACTAAATTTGCTGAGCAAAGAACAAGGGTAAGAGACATGATCCTGGGTAGACTGACTGATTTACTGGAACCAACACTAGGCCTGGAGTCAGAAAAGCTACATTTGGGGCTCATTTATAATTGAGATAATATGATATAGGTTACTAGGTTATAGCAAAAACATACATAAGTAAATGTTATGGCAAAAGATGGAAAGTACTTAATAAATATTAATCGAAGCTGAGTCTCATGCCCAAACATTACAGGCAGAAGAGCAGTCATGCCCCCACTCCTCTTAACATCAGATGGTACTTCAAAGCTCATGGGGAACTGAGCAAGCACACGGAAATGGTGTTTACAAATTTGCACCCCAAAATTAGCGTGCAGGCACTTACTTGGGTTGGCATGTGGCTGCATCATTTGCTAAATATATATACATGGAAAAAGTCTACCACACACATTCCATGAATAACACAAAGGCCTTGATTTGTTCCTCCACGTGATGAGCACTCGTTAGGTCCAAAATTAACATTGCTATCTGGCTGGGGTGTGCATATGTTTTTCCAAAAAGAGAAAAATTCCACGATCTCTCAGCCCTAATCAGATGTCTACTGTAGAATCTCACTAAATAGTGACTCTTGATGGAAGAACCAACTAAAGGAGTACAAAGTGACATTTATTCAGATCACTCATCTTTCTGAGCTCTGCTTTCATCTTTATATACATTTGGGATATCATTTCCGATTTTTGTTTACTGGATCCATTCCAAAGGTTAAGTGGAAGAAATAGCTTAAGTCTGTCTTTTAAGAGTGTAATATTGGGGGTAACTGGCATTGTTATTATCAGATGTCACCCCAAGCCCACCAGATGTGGGCCTGGATATTTCTGTTGCTGCATTTCTCTGTATGGTACAAAACCACACATCATAGGACGGAAGATAGGATGCAGTGGGTAGAGTGCTTGCTTTACAAGCACAGAAACTTGAGTTTCTACTCCAGATTTCACATGAAAAAGCCAGGTCTGGTAACATACACCTGTAGTCCAGCACCAGAAACCAGTGACTGAAGAATTTCAGAGGTTTCTGGTCAGCTAGTCGAGCAAACCAGTGAGTTCCAGACTCAGTGAGACACTGTGGCTCAGGAAATAACATGAAGAGAGATAGAGTAGGTGCTAACTTTTGGTACCCACACATACACACAGAAATACACACACACACACACACACACACACACACACACACCTTGAATTCTAACTCTTTAAAGAAACTATTACTAGAAGATTGCTCAGTTGATAGCAGCAGCCTCCTCAGAGGAGACAACAGATTGACACACTTATGCCACTTGTCAGACTTAGAAGATGCCTTTGCCTCTCTGTGCTCCTAATCACACTTCTAATATGCAGGTGATGTGCTATGCTTTATGCTTTCTTGCTTTACTACAATGAGGCAATTTTCATAAATGTGTACAACACAGTGCTGGACAAGCGAGAGATACACAAAAACGTCTCCAATTGAAAGATAATAGAGCCCACAGGACTCAGAGCTGGTCTTAATACCCGAGAGCTGTGGCATTGCATGCAGGTTATGGCAAATTGGGGAAGTTTAAATTTTTCTCCCCTCTTCCAGAATACTCAACAACTAGAATGTGAGAGGAATAGAGGCACCATCCTACGTGCTGTACTGGCTACATCTGGCCCATGCCTTAATTCTACCTTGTAATAGGTGTAGCCTTAAAGCTCCTGCCATATCAGGAGACGTGGGAAAGGGCATCTTCCTCTTGCAGTTTTGTTCCAAATTTGTATACTTAGTAATTCTTAGACAGACTGATTGTGTATAGGAGCACAGGACCCCAGCCCACAGCCAGGCAAGACAAGCATGTGACAGATGTTAAACAGCTATTCCCAGACATGTCAGCCAAAAGGCCAGAGTCGGACACCCTTTATTTTCTCCTCTGAAGCACAATTACTTTTTCACAGCTGATGGATGATGGATGTGATTGTGTCAGTCCAAGCGACTCCGCAAAAGTCACCTGACACTCTGAGGATCACACTGTTCTCTTACTGGCACACTCCAATTTTTCCATCTGTAGACAATCGCATACTCCTTTCTGTCCCCCGCCCTCATCCCATGCTCACTTACTCACCATCACAGAAATGTGGAGGATATGCATCTGTTCCTCGACGATCTCTGAGGGCTCCTGGAGTGTGGGAGCTGTGGCCTGGGCCAGCTGCCCCGAACTGCTCATGGAGACATGGAAGTATAGGGTACCATTCTCCAGCCACTGCTGCCTCCAGTGCACCAGAGAAATGTCCGCTGCTGTGCCAGACATCTCTGCAAGACAAGACCGAAAGCTGCAGGTGAGCGACATGCCAGGCTTCTGTGCTTTGGGGGCAAAGCTACTTCACACGGCCATGAACTCATAAGCCAATTATTATGTCAAGATGTTTTTCCTATATACCACTTAGGATCCAGGAGTCACAACTTCCATTTATAGATGGAAAACTGTGGTCAAGATACTCCTCAATAAACACAGGACCAGAGCTACAACTTGATCTTGGTGTGTCTGTCACACTTTTTCCATGACCTCATGTATGAAAAAGTAATTCTTCCCCCAGAGTAGACTAAACAAACAGATAAACAAACAGATAAAAGTGTTCCAGTTTTCTAATGTTGTACAATAGCAGAAAACAGAGGAAGACACATTTTTAAGTTCATATATGATTTTCACAGAACTTATCTGGAAGTCCTCAGAAGATTTCAGAGCTGGAAAACCAAAGAGAGCTTATGATTCAGCTGTGGTAACTAGCTAAGGTCAAGCCTGTTCATGGAAGGGCCGGACAAATGTGCTATTCTAAGCTTTTCTCAAGGGTTGATGAGCACAACTCCATTTTGAGAAATGTATGTTATATGTTCTGAATCAAGAGAACTTTGTCGCAGATGCCTCCATTGTTTAAAAATCATTGAAGGGGATTAGTGGTGGCTCTGTTAGTTAAGCTACTCTCATGCAAACATGAGGATCTGACTGTTAATATTCCTGAACCCCTCGTAAATTCTTCAGGTGTAGTAGCATGTTTATGTAACTCCAGAGCTTCAAAGTAGACGGACTTAGGTCCCTGGAATTCACTACTCAGACAGAAAAGCTATGTCTGTAAGTTCCAGAATCAGAGAGAGTCTCTCTCTAGAAAGAATATAAGTTGAAGATTGATTGAGGATGACACCCAATGTTGACTTCTGGTGTCAACTTAAATATGCAGATATGTGCATGAACACCTACAAACATTCCTAAACAAGCATATATTTACAACACACACACACACATTCACACACACCAGAACCATTACATAACTCCACTGATGATCATGTAGCTGGAAGGAAATTAATATTTTCTAGTAATTTTTCTATCCAATATCCTAATTTGAAGATCCTGACTCATTGTGCTTTGTAAAATATCATTAATATCATGTAAATGGTAATTTTATTAAATATTATATCACCACCATAGTCTCTTATTAGGTAACAAGGGTGGTAGAAGAGCTTTCAAAAATAGTTTTGCTTGAAGAGTATAAATTATTTCCTTAGTGCCTTATACTAAAGCAAAACATCACGGGAAACATCTCAAAAGGACAAAGCTTATAAGTGCATCTATAAATAAAGGAGAAAGAAGATGGTATTCTGGGAGAATTACCAGGTCTGCAGTCAAGTCAGAATTACTTTGGGAGTCAGATAGCCAGCCATAGTAGTGTCCATAGAAAACATTGAGTCTTAGTAGTATCTGAGGCTTAGAAATTTGGTTCACTACAGTCACAGAGGTGACCTTTAAACATGACCCCTACAAAACCCAAAGATCCCATGTGCATTTTATGCAGAGAGCAGCACTGGTGAAACAGGCCAAACCCGAGCTCTCTCTTATGCAGTCGTCTCTTCTCATGGCACAATGGCAGCCTTCTTCTCATCTGGAGGCACTGAAATGTCTCCTTGGCTCAGACAAATCCTAAGGAATTTTCTCATGTACTCCAATCCCAAAAGGCTTTATTTTCTTAAGGTAAGCAATCAGAATTTTTTAGGGAGGAATGCCTGGTACTTAGTAAGGGCTATGAAGAAAGTTAGTTATGATTTTTTAAAATTAATTATTGATTTATACTCATAATAATTATTAATATGGATAAGATCTAAACTAGCCAATTGTTGTGAAACAAGACTAGTGATATCCTTGATGGTGTTCTCTTCAGTGCTCCACTCTATTGCAGAATCCTTCAAAAATAGCTGACATGCCAGCTCCCTTAGTCCCTCTATGCATCCACCTAGATTGGGGCACTATCACAAATACTTCCTATCTTGGTTACCTCCACTTCCCCCCTTCCTTTCCTGTTTATTCTCAATCACAAACTACAACACAATTCATCTCATAGTACTGAACATCCAGTTCTAAATCTTTCCAGGGTCTCCTCCCTCCTTGCAAAGAAAAGACGAAGTAGCCAGAAAATGATGAATTATTATTCCAAGTGCATGGTCTTGGACTGCTTGAAGGATTAGCCAGATATGAAGCAGAGATAGAAGTAATCACAGAAGCTCGTCAGCTCTTCGAGCCATAAACCCCAAAGGGCCCTGAGAGCTATTGTGGTACTTAGGTAGAAGATACTCACTGAGTCTTTCTCAGCGCTTTCTCTGCTGGGGCTGGGGTGATCTATTCTGTTACTAACTCACGTTTCAATCTCAGGACCAGGGACACTAGCAGTCTTTTCTTGCAGAAGCCAACTGTGCCACAGTAAGATGGAGGCGTTATAATACATGGTCTTGCTTATCACTTCACTTGTTTTGCTAATTGCATCAAATCCCAGAATTAGAGATTCAGGAAACTGAGGCTAACCCAGCACTGAAGAGTCTAAATCTATAGAACACCACCAAAGCAGTAGATATGTAGCTGATACAGTCTGGTTTAGACAGGCAGAACAAGCCCAGGGATACTGGTGGGAATCTGAGTACCCATCTCCTGGAGCTGTAAAATCCCACCATGCATGTGGCTTTCCCCACTCATGTTCCTATTAGGCAACAGAGGGTTACAGATGGTTAGTAACTCATTTAAGGCCACTGGTGAATCTGTTCTCAGCTGGACTCGGTGGATTTCCAGTCAACACAATTTCTACAATGCCAACTGCACTTGCAGCATCTCCGTTTCCTTGACTAAATTAGCCCATGAACAAAACTAGATTGAGCTCTTTGTTTGCTACAGCAATGAGTGCACAGTCAGCAGACAGTAAATGTTAAATGATAATAACAGTGTGTGAAACACAGTAAATATTGAATCACACAAGAGAGCTCCGGACTTACACTATTGTTGAGGCAATAGGAGAGGAAGCAGGAAACTGCAAAATGAAAACTACTTTAGTGGAAACAGAAAGCCATGCCATTCATTCATTCACTCACTCACTCATTCATTCATTCATTCATTCAATGTAACTTATCATGGTCTGAAACACTTTCAGGCTACTTAGCGGCTCAGAATATTGAGATAAATGAAATGCCTGCAAGAAGCTCAGAATCTGTTAGCAACAAAAGTTCTATGTAGTCTGCTGTCTCCCAGCTCCATGCCATGACCTACATACACGGATGTCCTCTGAGATTCTGAATTATCTGACTTATCCCTTCTGTACTGAATGCCCTTCACCATGAGCTATAGCCCGATAGGCCTTAATATATCTGTTAAATGCGTTAGCTGCCTCTTGTATCAGGTCATGAGCATTTTCTGTCCCAGCTTCCTGCAGCTCTCCTCCCAAAGCTGAAAATTGGTTTCTTCTCAGTGTTAATCCCTCAATCCAAATGCCACCAGCTCTGCGAAGCTGGGCCTGAGCACTCAGGCTGAAGGACTCCTCTCTAAGCACATTCAATCTTTTATATGCTCCCTTCACAGAAACTTCTGAAAGCACTTGTGATTATTATAAATTTATCACAGATATTTACTTGAATATGTGCTTATTCTCTGTCTCTCCAGGAGAGCAGAGGCCTTGTCTGCCTTATGTCCTGTCATTTCTCAAGCACTTTGCAAAGTACTTGGCATTTCATAAATAATTACTGCATCTTTAGTGTATAAGTAAATATATATTTACATATGCATATATAGACATAGAGATACATATGCATATCCATAGTAAGTTGGTAAACTTAGTAAAGATATAATTCAGGATGCTAAGTCTCATCAGAGAATTAAACAAAGAATAAATACCTGTTGGGAACTCAAAGTCAAAAGGGGCCTGCTAAGCTTGGAGACCAAAAACTCCTCCCGGAGTAGCATGGGCACAGTTGAGGGCAGACACTGATGTTCTTCAGGGGTGGGAAGACATCAAGAACCAGCTGGCCAACCCAGAAAACAGAGCAAGGTATTCATGCAAGAGTGCAACAAATGCAACTCCCACAGAGGTAGGGATTTCAGTGCATGTGTTAGAGCATCTACTTCATTTGGCAAGCAGTCAGGAATTGGCAGTGCAAGCTTGATCAGAGAGCCAATCCTGTGTCGAGGTCAAAGAAATTGTAGCATGACCAAAGCCAGCTCTTGAAATTGCCTGCTGATTGATTTTCCAATTGCATTTTCCTTTTTTTCTTCCCCTGGTCCTTCCATATAAACATTTCATTGAAGTCTTCAAGTCATATTACAATCAAACTTAAAGCAAAGGGGGACTAAACACATTTGGTCGGGAACCAAGACGATTCCCACAAAGGCAGATTATGCTGACATGATGAATATAAAGTGAAACAGCAGATATTAAAGTGGGAGAATTGGTGCACCATGCCTTCCGGTGGTAGGCTGACTCCAACGCCTGCCTCTCTCCCACCCTGTGAAGCTGGTTTTTTTTTATTATTGGAATCATAAAGAGATACAGAGATTGCCTTTTCACCTTTCTCAGTTCCCGCCATATGGGGTGCAACTTGTGAAATATTCAACAGCCTCAAATCCCCTCCACCATCCCACAAAGCCATGCAAGAGGATCAGCCTTCATCAGTAATTCTGGGGAGCCTGCTACCATGCCTCAGAGGCTACTGATGCCTTTCAGCCTCCTGAAAAAGAAATAAAAATCCCTAAGGCGTATTATGCTTTTAATTGGCTTGTTCTTCCTAATCTATGGCACTCATTGTATTTTTATTTAATTCCTGAAGGTCATTATGAAAATAAGTGGTGCTTCTGATCTTCAGCCATCCTGGTAACATCTCCCAAGTGGCTAACTAACCAGCCTCCTGCTTCCACAGCACCAGCTGACCCTCCAATCGATTATTTGCAGAAATCCAGAGAGAGCTTCTGATGAGTTTGTAAATGGCTTGGCCTCACCGAGGAAGAGGAA